TTTATTTATTTTTATCTTCTTTATATACTAATATAAAATCTTGTGTTTATCGTATATTATATATTATATATATTATTATATATATATATTTATATATTTATACATACCCTTAAATCTTTTATTATTATTATTATTATTATTATCTACATTCGTCTATACTCTTTCTCAACCATATATACATATATATTGCGTTCTAGAGTAAAATCATGTATACGCAAAGGGATTCATCGGGTACCTTACTTACCCAGGCTTTTCATCCACCGTCGTCCGAGGAACATTATTCTTCACAAAATTTTTTTGACCAACAGCAGCAGTACAATCAAGAACAACTTGATGAGATTCAAGAACAACTTAATCCATCTAATATAGTTCAACGTTTCCAAATATCCGAGAACAATAATTTTGCTTTTCAGGCCTTTGATAATAATTCAATTCTCGGAAATTCTCTCCCTACTGATTGGCCACAAATTTATGGGAATGATGATATGTGCGGATTAGTAGATAGTTCTAGTTTTCCTAACGGTGTCTTCGTTGATGGTTTAATACCCCATAATTTGGTTGCTGATGGTAGTTCTTGGGTACTTAATCAAAACCCTGGATTTGTCAAGCAGGAAACTCATTCTTCATTATCAAATTCACCTTCTGAGGCTGATTCTGATCAAAATAATGTATCAGTTATGTCAAATTCTAACGATCATGCTAGATCTCAAACTCCTGGTCCTTTCCATAAAACTAACATTCCAAATTATTTGACCGCTCGTCGTCGAAGTTTATCTGCTGATAATATACATGCTCTGGCAAAAGCTCAACAATTAGCTAGCCGCAAGATCCCATATCTCGCTCATCAAAATTCTGAACAAATGTTATTTCAAAGATCTCAAACTATGGGTTTTGATCAACATTATATAAAAATGCAAGAAACTGGTATCAATCAGAACATTTTACATGTTGATAATCAAAATACTAATCAAATTAATGATAATGATTCAGATCATAATAATTGTCAACAAAATAATTCTGATACTAATAGTCCAACACAACAAACTACAAATCGTCCTCAACTTTCTCGTTCTGTTTCTCATCAACAGATTGGTCCAATCAATCATGCCCAAAGACTCACCGAATTTCAAGCTAGATTTAAAGTAAAACTTGATAAAAGAACTCAAAGGAGTATGCCAAATATACATGCCGCTGCTCATGCCGCTATGGCTCAATCTTCTATAAATCTTCAAAAATCTAGTCCTTCAATCGGTGCACCTACTAATGGTAGTATATCTATCATGGAAATTAATCAGCCCTTGTCAACTCAGACCTTCAATAATGAGAAATCTAATTCTCTTAAACCATCTCCAAATCCACCTCGTCGTGGACATATGCGTAAACGTTCTCTTTCTGCTCCTACAACTCCATTTCCAAATCTTACTCAACAATCTCCGGGTTCTATTCCTTTACAACCTGCTCAATCATTTCCTCTCAACTTTCCTATGACCTTTCGCAGGCCTAATGCGTTACCTATTCAAATTCATAGAAATCCTAAACATTCACATGCTAGTGCTCCTTTATCATCTGAAGAGTATCAACGCAAGTTAAATGAAGAACTTGAGAAAGTTGACTTTGATGATATCACTGTTAGTGAACTCAAAGAGATGTTACGTCAAAGAGGTAAACCCGCTACTGGAAAAAAGGCTGTATTGATGCAGAGACTTCAAGAGGAAGTAGAACACGTTAAAGCTATGAAAAATAATAGCCAACAACTTAAAAATCTAATGATGTCTTCACCCACATCTCCATCTAGTGGTGTATCTTTGCAAAGAAGTATTGCTAATTTACAAATATCCAGTCCGCCCATACATTCTCGACGCTTTAGCCCTTATGGTAGTGTCAGTATTCCGGGTAGTCCAAGAATAATGCCCAGCGGGCTGGGTAATGGGCGATCTGGCTTTAACGGAAATGTTCCTTATACTGAAGGTGATGAATGGCACTTTCACAATGTTGGAATGGTATCCCCACTAACGTCACATGACCTTGATGATGCGGTTCAATCTCAAGCGATGATGATAATAGGATCGCAACAATCTCAGGAAATGTATGGACAACAGCAACCTTCTTCAGCACCAGCTACTACTACTGAATTTGAACAAGCATTTCAACATCAACCATCATCTGCCCCTCCGATGACAACTGAATTTGTTGAAGCTTATGATTTCATGAATCCCATGACTATTAATATGATGTCAATAGCTCCTGATATGATGAGGCTGAATGTTAATGATAATGATCTAAAACAAAATCCATCCGAAGGTAAACCTGTAATTAATGATGAACAACAATCATCAGGTTCGCTAGTTTCATCAACATCAAATGATACCGTGACCGGGATGTTGACACAACAGACTTTAGAGTTTGATTTTAACTCTCAACACCACTTACAAGATGGAAATGGAAATGTTCTTATAAAGTCTGAAGGTACTTTACTATTTCGTATGTTTTCTTTAATTCTTATTTCTATTATTTTCTAATATTGCCTTTTTTTTTTTATTATTATTTAGATTATCTTAATTTTTCTCCTATGACCTCAATTTCTCATCATCAATCTTCTCAGCATTTACCTATGCAAATTGAACTTCCTCAAGATGGAATGACATTTGGTGGATGGTGATTGTGTTGCAAATGGGCTGGAACCCGCATTAAATATTCTTAAAATTTTGGGCACGTGTCATTTTTTGATTTTATATTTATTGTTAATTTACATATAATATACATTGACAGTTTAAGTCACTTTTAGTATATCATATATTAGTATTTTACTCTTGTATTTTATGTTGGTTTTTATTCCCTTTTTTTTTCGTGAATTTATGAGATTGTGATCTTGAAAGTATTTGGTTTATTTTATCTTTTCGGCTCTAGTTTGTTCTGAATTTTTTAATGTAATGTAATATTGGAATCAGTTTTGAATGGATATTATTACTTTAACCGATTTTTGTAAATGTTACTTATTTGGTTAGTATAGTGATATAGAGAATATTTTCCTGTTTTCTTTAAAAAGCTTTTATATGGTTAGAATATCAAATCAAATATGAGTCGTTACCTTCATCCTCGATTTTTCACATCTCACTTCACATCCACAATTCCTTTTTTTACCTTTAAGCCGTTTTTTTTTATCTTTTATTCAATTTATTATTTTTTTGTGATTTTCATTTTCTTTCTTCATTCAAAAATCTTTTTCTTGTAGTATAGTTTTTCCCCTTCCCCATTTTTCATGCTATCATTTTTTGTCCACTTAAAATACGCAATAGATACAAAATAAAATTTCTTCCTCTTTTTTTTTAAAACTTACATTTTTCATTTGTAGTTATTTTTTCTTATCAAAACAAAAAGGAGGTGAGCCTAACAAAAAAAAAAAACAAAAAAACAAAAAAAAAAAACAAAAAAAAAAAAAAGCAATTTTAACTGCTTTATATATTGAATTCTTGACAATTTAAATTTTAGGTGTTTTAGATATTAGGTTTATTGTGAATTTTATGAATTTTTTTACTTTTGTTTTATTGAATGAAATGTGAAAGAAATTTGAAAAAAAAAAATACAAAATTTTTTAACAATTAGCATACATATATATATATATGTATGATATATTATTATAATAAAAAAGATTATTTTTAAAAAAAAATTTTTTTAATAATTTTAATTTATATTAGTTTAATAATTAATAATTAATATTTAATATTTAATATTTAATAGTTTTATTATACAGTATTTATTAAAAAATTTAATTTTTAAATTTAAAATTATAAAATAATTTTAGAATATTTAATATACTGTAAATATAATTTATAAAATAAAATAATTTTTTATAAAAAAATAAAATAAAATTTTATTAAAATTAAAATAATTTAGCTAGCTAAATATATATTTATATAAAAAAAAAAACTTCATATATAATATAAAAAAATATATATATTTTTTATTTAGCGTTGTAGCGTATAGTACTTTCAATTAAAATTCAAGATTAGGTATAATATGAAACTAAAATAAATTTCTTTGTATATTAGTTTAGGATTAGAGCTAAAACTATATTAGAATTAGTTTTAATCTAAAATTTTTTTAATTAAAAGAGGTTTCATAAGCAAAATTTTGAGTTACAAGTAATTTCTTGAAAAAACTACACTTGTTTTAATATCTAAAATTCTGATTAGTTAGTTAATCAGGTAAATGCGTTACAACACGGGTTTGGGTCAAAATCCCGACAAAATTGACTAACACTATGCTAACCCTAACCCTAATGCGGGCTAATCTGTCGGGATTTTGACCTTGAATTCTGTTTGTCGGGATTTTGACCGGCTCCCGTTACAACACACTTATACTAAATTATAAAATGCTTTTATTATATATATATGTTGTAAGTGGGAATGGAATTTCTGTGGATTTGGAATTTCTTATTAAATTTAGTATTTTGCCATAGAATTATTCTATATAACCTATATCCTCTACCCTAACCCTAACACGAATCCTAACCCTAACCCTAACAACCTATTCTGGTCATTAAATTTGAAATTTAATTAAAAAATTCTGTATCCACTTAAATTCCGTCCCCACTTACAACATATATATAAAAAAAAAATTTAAATTTTATAAAAAAGTTATCTGATCTAGTTATAAGAAACAAAAAATTAACCTGTATAGCTTTATATTTAAAAATTTATTAATAAACTAATTTTTAAAATTTTTATACGTATTTTTAATTTGATTTTGCATACGTATACAGAATAAGTAAATTTATACTATATATCCCTATAAAATATAACCGGTTTTAGGAAATAAAACCTCTACTTGCTATCGTAGCTTGTTATAGTTTAATACGTAGCAGTAATATTTGTTTATATATAAATATATATATCAAATTAATAAAAACCCTATTAGTCAAAAAACCTAAAAAAGATTTGGCAAAAAACTTTGCAATCTGATTAGCTAATTAGATAGATGCACTAACACTAAATTACAAACTTTATTTTTAATCCAGAATTTTTTATACATTTCTTTAATAAAAAAATTTTGATTAGTAACTTAACTTTTTAAACCACTAAATAATTAACATTAATGCCAATATGAATGTATATACAATATTTTACACCTGCAACCAATATAAATACTTGGTTATAATTTACACTCATAATCGCTTATATAAATAAATAGCGTAAAATCATGTGAAATTTTCATTGTCTCGTTTGATGCTTGAGCACCTTATATTCGACATGACTGGTGATATTTGAATAAAAGTATTGTACAAATCGTGAATTTATTCTGCAAAAAGTGAAGCACTTTTTAGCAAAATTGCACTTTTTGTTAACTTTTAGTAAAGGAATCCCAATGCACGATTTCTTGCAACCATCTAACAATTTTAAGATGTTGGGAATATAGGACGTTAACTGAAAAAGCAAGGTTATGATCGCAGCATATAGCACGTCAAACCACAATGCAACTAAACAGTTTCGTCGATTCCTAAAAATAAATAATGGGTAATTTAGAGTTGATATTCAATAATAGAGCAAAAGGAGTAGAAATTGAATTACCTGCAAGATCTGTCATGCGATTTTGAATATATTCGGCTACTGCAAAAGTCCAAAGAAATTTCTGCGAAATTATTTAGGCAACACCTTCAGGTAATAAATCATTATATATGAAATAATTACTTGTAGGCGGAACGTAAGATTCCGGCCGAGTAACAAGCGGTTGTGGTTTGCTACACATTATTGCTTCCATAACTGCATCGACTTCTTCGTCAGAATCAACAATTACTTCATCTTTTTCATCGACTTCTACAGTACCTCCGTCTTTCTTGCTATTTTCTTGTTTAATGTCTGGTAAACCGTTATCTTCATTATTTCATCGTATAATAAATAGAACAGATTAATAAAATTGACAATAATGCGTAATATAATTACTAAATTAAGTTTGCATTATTTACTTTGTGGGCGGCCAATTGATTTCTTTGGATACTGAGAGAGCAATGTGTTAAATGGTTGTGAACGACCCTGAACTGCCCGTTTCAAGGCCATAGAATGACTTTTGCAAGTCAATGAACGTGAACACTGCATACCGGTAAGTTGTTCAACTACCCCGCATTGTTTATCCAAGTCAATGGGGCCTAATAATGTTAAACGTTAAGAACATTCGATTAAGTTATTAAGAACATTCAATTAAGTTATTCTGAATCATTTTTACCTAACAATGGAGTATATTAATTACCTTTGTTTCGTTTAGATAATTTGGTTTTCTTTTCTTTTTCCTTTTTAATTTTTGGCTTTTTTACGGATGATGATTTCGTATCTGACGTGGAAACTTTGGTTGATATCGATCGTTCTATCAATTCGGCTATTGGGATTACCACAAGAAATAATTATTTACTTTTATTATTCATACTATGGAAAAAACAAATGATGCTCACCTTCAGAAGTAATGGATCGTTTAAGCTTTTTATTTGGGACATATACATTTGCTATACTTTCTATATCTTTTATGTTTTTATTTACAGTTATTTCATCTACAGGTATTTTCTTTGTGGATATCAAGGACATCGTTTTTATTTTCTCACAATTTTCTAGATTAAAAAATGAGAGGTACATTAATTACAAGGATGCAGTTAAAAAAAAAAAAAATCTAATTTTATTATATGTAAAAAGTGAAGCGCACAAAATACCAGTATGTTCTATGAAACCACTTGCGAACAATTTTTTCGAACATGTATTACATTTTATAACTCCAGATTCTTCTCTCGCGGGTTTGCACCCATAGGTCTTCATATGTAAAAGGTTGGTTAAGGATTGTATAAGAAATGTTTTGTGAAAAATAGTGTAATTAAAGGATATCATCATATTTGAATCTAGACGCAGCTGACGGCGGGACACTAACTTCTTGAGAAGTCAGTACAACGTCCTCTTCGTACTCGTCTGTTAACACAGTATACGCGAACGATAGAGTATTTAATATACCTGAAAACTTCAAAGAAATATTAAAAGATAGGTTCAAACAAACCTTCGTCTAAAACAACTTCCTTCAAATTACTCCATGAAGAATAAGCTTCTAGCGGCACTTCCCGTGAAGAAACGAGCGGAGTTTGAAGGGGCTCTGCCCATTCGTCTTTAAAAAGCGATATTGAAGCAGGTGACAATAATGACATCCAATTGGGGTTCATTGTCGTGATATTTCAAGAAATATATTTGAAGTGCATTAATAAAAGTACAATATTAAATTCTATCAGAAGCTCTGAAAAAATAAGTACAATAGAAGGATTTAAAATTTAGGATTACGAGAAAAAAATTCTTTGCTATAGATACTTTAATAAAATTTTATTGACCAATCAGCAGTTTCCACACTTGATTTCAGCACTAAGCATATGAGCGGATTTTTACAAATATGTCACCTGAATTTGTATGTGATATTCACAATATCTAAAAATAGATTAGCCAATAAAATTTTTGCATAATAACATGTAAATGTCAACTTTGTAAAAAAAATTTTTTTTTTCGAAAAGAGCTTGTAGTTCATAAAAGAACTAGGCATCAAAATAACAAAATTATACCTCATCATTATTTACTTATTCAATTTCTTCTTAAGCAGATCGTGTTTTATCAAGATGTATTTATTGTTCTGATTAAAGAGTGTTTTGGTTTTAACAACATTTTTTTAGAAAATATATTTGTTTATCTTTTTGAGAATGAGTTTTTTTTCCAATACAGTCTTGTGAAATAAAAATATTCTTGTTTATTTCAGAGCAAAGCTGATGAATAAAGGTTAAAACAATTGATTAATTACTGTAATTGTTTAAATTTCTATTATTAGTATATTATAAAACTATATTATAAAATCTGTTATTATATATAATAATTGTTTTTTTTATAGATTTAAGTCACAGATAAATTAGTCTAAGTTTCAAATCTTGCTATATAGTCTAAAATTATACTTTGTAGTATTATAGTATACAAAATTTTTTTTTTTTTTTTTGGTTATTAAGGTTATTTCCTTAGCTGATTTAATTTTATTAGTTTGTTATTATAGAACTATTACATTAATAGTCTTTTAAGGTTTTATAGTTATATAATAAATATACAACAAGCTATATATACAACTTTAGTCATTGTTTAATTTAAGTAGTTCATTATACAGATGATCAACTATCTGTTAGTTCTACACTATGCTATTATACCTGCAACCTATCTGTGAATTACTTTTTTAAATACTCTAATTATTAATTCTTCCTTCTATTCTAAACTAATATCACTACTATATCTAATTGCTTGAGCTAGCTAACTTATATATAAATCTATTTACTGCATAGCTTAAATCTTCTTGTAATACATATTATTTAATATATTGTAAATACACAGAGCTCCAGTTAATCTAAAAAGTAATTTCTACTAAAGTAATCATGTGAGTATTTCATAGATTCATCTGAATTAGACCCTTGTCAATATTCATATAAACCTAGTTCCTGCTATAGCTCTCTACTAAATATAGTTCTTCAAGTTCTAGCCAAATATTTCATGAAGTAGATCCTCCTAATCTAGTTAGCTATTAAGCTAAGTTAATACTATTACTAATGTAAAATACTAGACTATATTATATAGTAGACTTACTCATATCTACTTAATCTACATTCTTTGTGCTTAGATTTTTTTATTGGATTAAGTGTTAACTAGCTTGACTATTGAAATCTGTACTACTTTATTAAACTTAAAATTTCTATTATATAGGTCTTCTGCCTGTAGATACTATTAAAATTTATTTGTATAATATAACTTGAATATTGTATTATACTTCTAATATCTAATTAATATTAGTGTAATATAATCTATAAGATTGTAATCTTCAGAAACAAATAGAGTATACTGTAAGTTAGATATAAAGGTCTGAATAATTACTCAAATTTGTTAATAGTAGGATTTGAACTCTAGATTTTTTGTATAGTAATCTGGTAATCTAACTACTACACTAAGATCACTAGACCTCAAAAATTTTTTTTGTAAAATTTTAATTAAACTATTAATAAAAATAAAAATATGACTTTATCTTGATTTTGTTTAAAAAAAAATAAAAAAATAAAAAAAAATAATAATTGTTTTCTTTTATAAATTTGAGTTTTGTTACTTTAATATTAATAAGTATACTTCAAGATCTAGTAATCTATTCTTTTATCTTCTATTAATTTTATCAATTTTATTACTTTTCATTACTAGGTTTCATATTTTATTAGTACAAAATCTCTAGATCTTATCTAATAACTAGAGCTTGTATCTGTTTATCTAACAATTCAAAAACTGTTATTTTAACAATATTTCAAAATAAATTATATTTAACTAGTTGATCTAGTATCTAATTAAATAAGAATAGTAAGGAACTTCATGAACTCTCTCTGATGATTATTTGAACCAAATTTTCCAAAAAGCTGAACTACAGAAAAATAATATAGTTAATATATTAACCTTTATAAAAACCTTACTGGAGTACTGTATTCGCATAGTTGAATGTTGAAATAGAGTTGAAAAAGAAGTTGTAGCTTTGTGGGTCAGTTTAAAGTACTCTAGAACTATAGAAGAAGTAGTCATGAAAGCTAAAAGTTTTTTATATTAAGTAAACAACAAAGTTGAATATATTATTTCTATATAACTGTAAAACCTACAAGGAATACCAATAAAGGTCAAGAACTCACAAAAGCCAAAAATTTGGTTCATCTATTACCCTTTCTTTTCTTTGAGAATTTTGTAAAAAGTGGGCGATTCAGTTTACCCTCTCCTAAAGATCAACATGTAAAAATTCCAAAACAGTCAGCAGTATTTACTTCCTAAATGGGTTTGTTAATAGCTTAGCCCAGAAACAATATAGTAATACAAATATGACTATATACGTGCCTTGAAGATACTAGAAATTCAAAACACTGCTTCTGGACTAATCAGTACCTTATACTGACACTCTACAATCAAGTCGAAATTTTTTTTTTCCTATATGGTTTTTTTATTAAATATTCTAATTAGATAAGAAATTAGTAGAGATATTCTTATTTAGTATAGTTTATAATTTTTAAAGCCTAGTCATAGGCTTATAATAGTAATTGTCTGATATTAGTGAAATACAAATTTCACTTTTCTTTTTTCTTTCTCTCTTTATTTATTCCTCTTTTATTTCTTGATTTGTATTTTTTATCTTTTACTTCCTTTTGTTTTTTCTTTTTACTTAAAATTTTTTTTTTGTTTTTTGCTTCTCTACGAGAAGATATCATCAGATTAGCAGTATCCTATTGTAGAGCAGTAGTCAGACAAGTAGTCTATCTCTTATGTAGATAGTGTAGCAGATCGTACTTAGGCCCTATATGGGAACTGAGTAATGCTAAACTTAGAAAATTAGTTAAACTCATTGAAATCTGTATAGTTTCAAAGATCTAATAAAGTATTAGCATGACTACTAAAGGTAAAAAAAAAAAAAAATAAGAATAATAAGAGATAGAGACTTCAAAAAGTTATAAAGTAGAATAATTAATAAATATAAAAAACAAACAAGGTTATAAAATTTTCAGAAGAGTATTTTAGAAGTTTATAAAAAACATAAATTAGTAGATCAACTAGTTTACTAAGTTATTTTGAATTATTTGAAATAACTTGAGTTGTAACTCAGTTAATACTAATATAACAAGTAAGTAAACTAAAGAATAAAATTTTAAGCAAATACAAGTTCTACTAACAACTATATATAATACTTTAAAAAAAAGTGTATAATTAATAAAGATAGAAACATGGTCTTATCTTAGCAGAAAAAAAAAAAAAAAAAAAGTGTATAATTAAATTATATTTAGAAATCTATACATACTCTCTCCTGACTACATAAAGTTAGACTCGAGAGTAAAAACTTTTTACAAAATATCTAATACTAAAGAAACTAAAACTATTTTT